GCTCAGGCCGACTCCTCAACATGAGGCTCGGCCCGAGCCTTGGCTCGGTTCCATCGAGCCCGAGCCGGGCCCGGCTCGGGCTTTTTCCGAGCCGAGCCCGAGCCGTCCGAGCCGCCGAGCTTTTTTGCCTTCCCTACACCCACCCCACGTCAAACCCAAAATCCACACCAACCACTGCCAGGAGAGTTTTACCAAGTTTTCAAGTTCGAAAGGAATTTTTTCGGTGAAGAAGTTGGGCCCAAGTTGAAGAGTCTGTAGATGTCTCAACTCACCCAGTCCACTCGGTAAGTTTTGCGGCAATTGATTTCTCCCCAAGTCAAAAAGTTTCAGTCTATTTAGGGAAGATATGAACCACAGCCAAATAATCTAGAAAGAAAAAACATTCTGAAGAAAGAATCTCTTAAAACATTCTTTTGATACATCTCATAATTTGATGAATATTAGAGGCGTTGATCAAGAAAGAATCTCTTAAATACTTGCATTTGGCCTGATTTGTGCAGGAGATAATTTCTTTAAACCTGCTACCTATACAAAGTCCTATGAGGATGCAATTGAAAAACTTAAGGATATTGAGGCTGAGATTTTGAGGAAGAGAAATGAGCTACTCCAATTTGAAATAGAATAAAGAAAGGTTTCCTACTTTCCCACTTATGTTTGCTAATGATGTTTTGTAGTTGATGTTTATGGATATAATTTTACAGTCTTCCCCTTCTATTTTGAAGGCATTGGCGTGCTTTCAAGAAGTCACCAACAGATACAGGCAAGAAAGGCAATCTGTAAGTTTGCTCCCTGGGAATTCTTTATGGTTAAATGTTTTTCCTTCAGAATGTATCAGTTTGATTCTAATTTCTAGTTTGCGGTGGAGATGGAGGTGGAGGTGGAGGTGGAGGTGGCAGTGGTTGGTGTGAATTTTGGGTTTGAGATGGGGTGGGTGAGGGTTGAGACTTGAGATGAAGAAGATATATTTTTTTATTTCTTATTTGCACATTTTGAAAAGTTCAGGTTTATAGTTGCAATTTCTTTTTTATTT